ATTATGATTTTTGAATTAAAGTCCTAACCATAGTATGTAGTGTTTAACTTGATCAACCATTTTGGTCAAATGAGTTTACTCTGACTTTTACCGTTGACTTTCAACGTATTATCTTATTCCTTTATTCATCTTCTTATTACATTTATCAGTGTGCGATACATAGGTTCCAATTAGCGATGTAGTGGGTAAGTTTGATTCTTCTGAACAGTGTGTGAATTAAATCACATAATTTAATTCTCCATATTGGTGAAGGCTACTTACAATTAGACCTTACAAGGCTTCCACAAGCCATCATAAATCAATTACAGAAAAGCTACAATTTACAAGTACATACTAAACCTCGCGGAAAACCTACAATTTGCCCATTGCATTAGCGAGATTGTCAGGAAATCCGTTGTTTGCCTACACAGACAATTTTTAAAAGGCATTTTCGGCATCCCACTGCAATCTCTTGTTTTGATGTTCTTCGCACCCAGACCATTACATGTGGCCTTAGATTATTCCAAAACCAACCGTAAATCCTAATTCCCAAATTTGAAATCCTCATACCTTAAGCCACGAATTGACATAAGTCATGTTGTAGGTTCCAAATTGCATAGAGCGAAAACGATGATGTCGAGGATGTCTACAAATCGAAGATTCGAAGTGGGCCCTCCCATTTTTCGTTGCGGCAATCAATGTCTTATGACAATGTCATGGACTGACGACAACCATGTGAGAAGATTTTGGGTCTATGTCGATTATAGGGAAAGAAGAGGTTGCACATTCTTTGAATGGTATGTTCCACAAGTATGCAAAAGGTTGAAGATTGTGATACCTAGGCTGTTGAAATGATTACGCAAGAAGGAAGAGGAAAACAGAAAATTGAAAATGGAGGTTAGAGTTGCCTTGAAAGCACAGAGATTTCTATGAGCAAGTCTACTAGGTTTGTGAATTTTTTTATTGTGTTATTGGGAATGCTAGTACTGGAATGGAGAGAGGTTGTATCATCCAAGAATGTGAACTTAACAATTGAATTTTAGGGTCTGAAATTTAGGAGACTTAGATTATTTTTGTGTGAGCATTGGTGGAACCTTTTGGAGAATCAAAGTGGTTAATGTGTAAGAAAGTGGTCCTTATAATCTCCCATGTCAATTTGTATGAAAGTTGTTTATGTATGAAATGTTAGGCAAGTTCCAAATGTATAGACTGATTTTGCATTTGTTGCTCTAGTTGTACACATAAATCCATTTCCACATATGTACTCAAAACCTGTACTTCACAAGATATAAATCCATTTCTAGAATATCTTAAGTTGATATGGAAGAATCCTCCTTTACCTTTACTCTGTCTTGCAATTGCTTTGCCTTGACCCTATTTTTTAGGGTTTGCTCTTGTATTTCCGTTGCAATCTTTACTTTCCTATATTTGTTTTTTAATTTGTGGTTAACAAAAAGACCTTGTTTGTTGTTGGTTTGAATTCTGCCTGGCCATCCCTACATCATTAGTGCTAATGATGTCTCTTTTCCCATCACCACTGAAGGTTCTAATGACACTTAACTAAAGAAAATTTGGAAAGTGAGATTATTGGTTTTTCTTTGTTAATTATGAAACCAACTTGTAGATATTTTGATCAAGGCAGTCTCAAGTATGATGTTCTATGACTCGTTTGACAAGTTGTGCATGCGAAACATATTTGTGCCAACTTGAAGGGGAGTGTTGGTAAGTTAGGATTTTAGTTACTTACTTGTTTGTTTAATTCTATTGTAATTGAGATTTATTTCCTATTTTATCTCTTTTAAGGTTAATTAACACATCTTTGTACTTCTATATAAATACTTCAATATTGAAGAAGAATACATATATGAAAATTCTCATATACTTTGTTTGGCAATTTCTCATTTTGAGATTAAGATGTTCACTTTTTCTAAATTAAAAATGACTTGCAATGTCAATATTGTTCAAGGATGTGAACCTATTTGTCCCAATTCACCCACTAATTTAAATAAATAATGTTAGTACTATATTAGTGTTATTAAATTATCATAATAAAATAAAGAACTCGCACATAGTATACATCTTCTACTATAGAAAATTAGTGTTTTCTTATGGTTATACATGAAGATTTTTCGTCTCGTACATCTACGATGCCCCTTCCTCTTATGGAAGGGTGCATCTCTAGTTTTACTTTGTTAAAATGAGCCTAGTGGGAGCCAATGGGGATATAGCTAAGTTGGTTGAGCTCTTCCACCTTTACACATGTGGGCAGAGGTACAACATCCCATGCATATTTGTGTGTAAATTTAACCCCTCCCTCAATCACTTGTATTAAAAAAACAAGCATAGTAGGAGGCCAAATAGTCTAGGTTTGAGCATTACACTTTTAACAGTTGTGTCATGGTTTAAATAGGTATGGTTTTGGGTAGGTGTACTTGGACAAGAGGCATGTTTACGGTTTTGGCTTAGTATATCTGGAACATAGGTATAGTTTTGAGTGATTTTTAGGATGTGTCTAGTGTATTTACCTTTTGTGTTTTAATTATTATGGAAAAAATTAATTTCTTACGTTACTTATGTTTTAGGACCATAATTGGTACAACAAATTAATTAAAAGCTGAAAAAAAAAAAAGTAAACATCATTAAAAAAAAATCTAAAAAAGGAATGTAATCATATATGGTATAAAAGTCAAAAGATTTGTATCAACAACACTAAGGGGGTGTATTCAATTAAGATTTTAAAAGAGTTAAACGGAGTTATAAAGTTTATAGAATTCAATATATTTCAATTGATTTCTATATACTCCGCATAGAGTTTGATTGAATTTCTAGATTGATATTAATGGTGTTCGTTAGAGTTTTATCATAATTTTAAAAGAGTTTATTAGAGTTCTAAAATGTTTTTTTTTTCTTTTTTTAGGGGGCTGTTTATCGTTTTTCTAGATTTTCAAAAGAAAAGTACTTATACAAAAACATTTTGTAAAGAACGTCCAAACCATATACATCCAAAGAAAATTTAAAAAGGGCATCTATTTTGTTCAAAGAATAATGCTACTCTTACCACATTTGTATACCACATTCTTATACTACCTTATGTGGCAGATGAGGTGGACAACACATCAATTAAAATTAATTTAAAGTTTTCTTAACTTTTATGATTTATTGACACTTTTTAATTGATGTGATTGTCCACTTCATTTGCCACATAAGGTGGTATGAAAATATGGGATATAAATGTGGTAAGTGTAGCATAACCAAATAAGGATTTATGTCTGCATGTTTATGAAAAATATGCAAAACTAAAAACATAAAAGTAATTTCAAGACCAAAAAAATGATACGTAAACTATAATTCTAAATGCATAAAAATGAATAAGTATCTGCTTCATTGCTCATCTTTGACTCCCGTCATTCATGGCATCTCTCCACATATCTGAAGATATCCCAATCCTCCATTGGTTAGCATTCTCGCGTTGTTGTTTTTGGGTTTGAAAAACTTGGTCATAATTATTTCCCTCATTTTCTAGTAATGATGATGATGTTGAATGCTCGTTGTCTTCTTCATAGGAAAAACATTCTCCCATAATGTTACTAGATAATACATGCAATCTTTATTAGTTTATAGGAAAAAAAATTATATATGAAGATAATTTTTTCCTTTTTGTTTTGGCATAGACAAGATATATATAGATATTGTACAAAACAAGAAAAAGAATGACTATAAATCGATGAAGAAGGCTATCCTCTATATGATATAATGTACATAAACCAAAAAAATAATAATAATAACGGCAACCCTAAACCCTATATATGATAAAATAGAATAATAAAATGATAATAACAACAACAAAAAAAAAGAAGGAAAAGTTGAAAAAGCGTAGAAAACTTGTTTGATGTACAACAACAAATATTTATAGCAACAAGTATGTTGATGTTCATCTATATATGATGGCAACAACAACAACCATTCAAGCAGCAATTGTTCATATTATGATATACATCAATATATATGCTACTGTTCATCGATATATGGTGATGTACAGCAAGAACAAATATTCAAACATACGATGAAAGATCATACATATATGAAAATAGAAGAGATTTTTTTACCTCCACTTGACAAGCACACATATTCAAGGACTGAAAAGCGTAGAGCACGTTCAAAGTTTCTAGGGTTGACATAAGATTTGTCAGTGCCTTTTTTATTTATACTTACCACTTTAAGTTCTAACGAAATCAGGCAACTTATTAATTCCTTCAAAATAAATTACTTTTTGAATACACATAAATTTGGTTTGACTTTTAAAAAGTCATAATTGAATACACCTAGATTTCGATATATTTTTTTAATATCAATCGAAATCTGAATTGAATACACCCAAACTTTTACAAACTCTTTAAAAATATGAATTGAATACACCCAAACTTTTAAACTCTTTTAAACTCTTTTAAAATCTTAATTAAATACACCCCCTAAATATGTGAATTTCAACCAACTTATGTTTTCGATTTTGAACTTATCCCAAATTTTCTAAAGATAATTTCTTAAGAGTACGTAATTACAGAATGAAGAAAAATATGAGAGGTGACAATGGCGTCGTTCATTATTAATGGAAGTTTCTTGCACGTATACTCTCTTTCGCCATAACGATATATAGGTACTTAAATTACTAAAAAGGAGAAGCGGCAAAGTGGATGGCTCCAAAGCAATCAAGCCATTTTAGCCGCTCGCTCTTTTTACTGAATTTAGCTTAGCCATCATCACCCCTCTCTCTCTCTCTCTCTCTCTCAAAGCCAAGAAAGCCTTTGTTTTTTTTATAAGAACCCTGAAACCTCTTGTGTTCATAGAAAGGACCTTCTTTCTACGCATTAATTTTCACATCTTCTCTCTCATTTGCTTCGCTTTCCCCATCTCTTTGTAACAGTCGTATAGCTTGCAACATTGTCCCATCTTACACAGCCAGCTTCGTCGGTTGTTACAGAGAGAAATTAAATTAGTTAATATCATTAGAATATAAAGTCAATATGGGTTTTCTTCACAAGCTTTGGGATGAAACACTCGCCGGCCCGGCACCTGAAACCGGCCTCGGCAAGCTCCGCAAGTTCGACTCCTTGTCTAGCCCGGCTTCGCCGAGTATGGTCTGCGACGAGGTGCCCGTCACTCGGAGCATTACAATTCTTAGGACCACTTCTTCCACTTTTGGAAACCTGTCACCGAATTCCGGGTCCCCCTCGGAGTCCCCAACTACACCGGGCACTCCGAAAAGCCGTGAGTTGAAATTTATTTTTATATTGTCAGACTGTGAATAAAAATCGCAAATAAAATAACGTGACAATCCATTAAGTTTGCTATGGATAAAAGAATTTTTTTTTTAGAACAAGAAAATATCCTCCTTTTCTTGAAAGTGTTACTTTTTGGCTATTAAGAAAACATTGTTGCATATAATGGATTTTATGTTTCTTGCAAGTTTTACTCTAAGGTAAAGGTTATTATGAAAGAATTATTGCATAGAACGGGTGTATACAACACATGTCCCGTCATAACTACCTCACTCTCACTGGGTTATATACTGGGAAGGAAGAAGCTTTATGCAAAGATTTCTTGTCTGTGAATCTTAGATGCTATAATTTTTTTAATTTCCTTTTTTTATTTATTCATGTGTTCTTCTGGTTTTTTTATGTGCAGCGGGAACACCAGGTGCAATGAACAAGAAATTAACAAGGAGGAAGTCGTCAGCTGATGCTTTGGAACGCGCCGAACCTAGAAGTCCGACTGGTTACGATTGGTTGTTTTGCTGTTTAGTGTGTTTAAAAATGATAATAGGATTAAACTTGAGAAAATATATATAAATCTTCATTTGTTTTAGATCATGTCTCACTAGATTAAGAACTGAACAAGTCAACCCCAAAATAAAAACTAGATTGAGAGATTGTCTATCTTGGATGCTTAAGATATTTAGTATACTAATGTAAGGTCTAGCTAGTTACTATAATTTGGTATGTTATATTATCAGACTATCAATAATTGTCGTTGAGAGGGTAGATTAAGTCTAATAACATAACATGTAAGACTTTTTGACAAAATTCACATTATAACGCGTAGATTCTTTCGTAGATTAGATGATCGATGCAATCGTGGAGAAAAATGTTTAGCAAGTACGAATTACTTTAACCTCTTTTATTAATTCTTATTCAATTAATTAGGTATGTTTGTATTGTAGGATGGTAATTGCTGCTTTGGATCGTTGAGAGAGGAAGTGATGAAGATTTTTATGAAGTATCGGCCGGCGACTACCATTGTACATAGAGAACCTTTGTGGGAACTTGATGCATATTAATATATCCATATAGTAAATAGAGATGTATCTAAGTACTGCATAAATAAGGTGGTTCTGTCCGGGAACAAGAGAAGAACCCAATGCCTCTTGGAGATTATGAGGGAGGAACTAAAGTAGGATAGCCATTTTGCCTATTTGATGTTTCCATGTGATCTTCAAGTTTTCTTCTGTATATTTGTATATATATGGGTTTTGTGTGTTGAATCCTCCCACCTCGATGAAACTCCTGATGAGTTTACATATCAACCTTTTACATATCAATTCCCTTTTCACATTTTAACCCTCACGTGCAAAGACTTACTAGTATAGTGGTTTGGAGCAATTGTTTCCTAGGAAAGGTCCTAAGTTCAAGTCCTAGCATCAGTGTAGTGTCTATTGGTATGTTATCGCCCCCTTCAATAGAAAATGTCCTCCGCAAAAAACACAACAAAAGGAAAAACAAAAAAAACCACACACAATTATGCAATTGATGCAGAATTATGACATCTTGAAGCATTCAAGAGTGTTGCTGTCTGAGTCTCTAAGAAAAAGTCTAAGGTAAAAGTTTGATAAATTTATTTGTCATAATCCATTCCGTATTCCAAACGAAAATTGTAGGTCATGATCTCGTTCGAGTTGTGACATAATAATCTAAAGGGAAAAATTGAAAACTAAACTTGACTGGAAAACAGCAAGGAATTAATTTCCTTCACATCGACTTAAGTTGAAGCTGATTTCACTTTCTCAATCAGATCAGCAGCATCTTGAACGGTTGAGATGTTCTCTGCTCCCCCTTCTCCAACGGACACTCCGAACTTCTCCTCCAAAGCCATCAAGATTTCAACCTGTTTCATTTTTTTATTCCATTGATCAGATAATTATTGAACAAAGGTGATTTTAGTTAACATGAAGGTTAATGTGATTTATCCTAATTTAATTAATAATTTCAATTCTTAATGTTTGCATTAACAGACGACATTTTCTAGTATTTTGAATGTTTTACCATTCTTTGCCTTTTGCTTTATATATATAGATAACCTTTTATAAGTCACGACTAATCAATTTTTTTCTTGTTATACTAAAGTAAAAAGTATGAAGATAAGAGTAGCATACTGTGTCCAGAGAATCAGCCCCCAAATCGACAAACTTAGTTTCGGGAGTCACAGTGCTTTCATCAATGGAGAGTTGCTTGGCAATTGTGCTTTGGACAGTTAGCAGAGTGTCTGGTTGAGCCTGCACAAGGTAATGAAATCAGCATATAATAAAAAATTGCTATCAAGTTACTAAAAACGCTTCTGGTAACATTTGATCGAGCTTGTTATACTGATAATAAAATACCCCAAAACATAATCTAAAGTGAAATAAGATATCTACTCACAATGGAACATGAGATTGCAGTCTTGAGGCAACTAGGGATTGGAAATGATCTTTCTGCCGCCCTAGTGATCTTGATCTTGGGCACAAGTCTTAGTCCCTTAACCATTGGACCTCCCTGCAAATATGAAACAATCAAGCATGTGAATTAGTAAATAAATAAAAAACCACCTATGCATGCACCAAAATTTGAAAAAAAATTTGCAATAACTATGGGCACTCTTACAATGCTAGATAAGCCATTAGATTGGCAGGTTATGCTTCTGCCCTTGGTGCAAGGTAGAGTGGCAACAGTGATTGGAGAAACTGAAGCAAAAGAAGCCATGGCCAAAGATTGGAAAGAATTAGAAATATGTAAATTTAACAACAATAACAACTTGTTCTTGTAATGCCCTAGATTGCAGGGCTTAAAGGGTTTGTTTCATTTATAATGCAGAGAATGCATAAAAAAGAAGGCCTAGGGTTGGTCGATGAGAACAATAAAATCAAATGGTAATGAGCCATGTCTTCGGCGGATTATACCATGTAGTGTGTCCTTGTGCTTGTAAAGCTGGCGATAAGTAGACTTAGGAGAGAGAGAGAGAGAGAGAGAGCCCTTCGTCAAAGACAAACATATGGGCATTTGCAGGGCTTACCCCCTCACTAGAAGCTGTGTACTTTGTTATAAACTTGTAGTTGAGATCATTCAATCTGCCTTAATGGTAAAGTCCAAGCATTTCTTTGTCCATCCATACATACTAGTTAAGTTTTGGGGTTGAGAAATAGACTTTCAATGTAGTCATTTAAGTTTTGGACTCGGACCAATTGGGAATTTGGGAGTTTTGGGCTTGCACAAGATTATGGTTGGATACATGTCAAATTGGGTTATCTTTTTCTTTAGTCCCAACGGAGAGGAAAAGTATTTGATGTAGGTAGGGTGTGCGTGATTCGGTTCGGTTTGACTAGGGTCTCAAATTGTACACTAAATAAATGTGGTATCATAGTTCAAATTGGTTCGGTTTAAGTTTGAAACTAGAGCGTAATCGAATCAAACCAATTTACTTGATGACTCTCTCAATATTCAATAGTAAGAAGTTTTTTCAACGATTGTTCAATATATGTTGTGAAGTCATTTAATATATATATATATATATATATATAAAAGAAAGATATAAAATATTTACTTGATTGATATAGTTATGCTACTAGTTTAAGCACGACCATCACATTTGACGTATATTCACTTGTGCGCTTCAAATGTCTCACAAATAGTTAGAGAAAGTTACCAAAAAAAAAGAAAAAAGAAATTATCACTTTTATATATAATTCTTATTATTAGAAGAAGAAAAGTTGGGTTAATCGTTTTATTAGTCTTTGAACTTAGACCCGATTTGCATTTGAGTCCCTCAACTTCCAAAATCGTTTCCGTGATCCTTTAACTTCAGTTTCGTTAGGACAAATGGTCCTGCCGTCAATTTTGTTAACGTTTCTGTTAAATGCAGGGGCAAAATAGTATTTTTGTATTAAACTGATTAAAATATGAATTTAAAAAAGTTAATTTTAATTTTAATACAAAAATACCATTTTGCCCCCTGTATTTAACAAAAAAAGTTAATAAAATTGATGGTATGACCATTTGTCATAACAAAAGTTAAGTTAAAGGAATAACGATTTTGGAAATTGGAGGACTCAAATGTAAATTGAGTCTAAGTTCATAAACTAATAAAACGATTAATCAAGAAAAGTTTTATACTTTAATATTCAAAGACCTAAATTTAAAAGGCCATCTAATCGGGCAAGGGGTCTTGGGTTCGATACCTTTGCATCTACACTGGTGACTTCAAATTTAGCACACAGACGCTCAACTTCTGCCTGAAACAGATCATAGAGGCCCGTCCGTCGTCCGTGCTCCTCTCTCTTCTTTATAACAAATAAGTAAGTTTTGAGTTTTGGTGCTTCGTGCAGCTTATGGCTAATATTGAATTGAGACTTTTTAAGATTTAAGTATATCAAGGTTTCCTATTGTGTCTCTGTTTTGGGCGCCAACCATGTGTTTGCGTTAATGCCGCTGAAGTAGATCATTATCAATCTTGATATCGAATTTCCTCCGAATTCATACGAACTACTCTTCATTTTCCTTTTCGATCTCATAAATGATAGTTTTTTGCTTTAAGGATAAGGATTGCATGCATAATACATTCTACATATCTGTGTCAAATACATTTTCATTCTTTTTGGTTTATTTTGTAATACTTCATTTGTTCATGTTTCCCAGGTGCTTCTCAGCGGTTCCTGTGGACCATGTTTGTTTCTAGAGTATCGCGGTTCGGAACTCAGATGGTCAAGCATCTCACAAAAGGTTTCAGTTTTGTGGAGAATTGTTTTTGGGTTATCTCACATTTAACATTAACTTGTTCCATGCTCGTTGCTCAGCTTAATATCGTGCTAATTGCAGCTACACTGGTAGTTTTATTGAACTGTTCTCGGTTACTAAATAGCCGAACTTTGATTAATGTACAATAATGCACAAAATTGGTGGGACTGATATTTGTGTGGTAAATGCTATGGTTCTGCTGCTCAAGGAATGAGCCTGTTTGGCGTGGATCCTTTGGTATACATGTAAGACTAGTGCTTGAAAAGTTTTGCATGTAGCTAGATATGTGTGAAAGGAGAGTGATGTTGGGTGAAAACATATAGTAGGATCATTGGCAGGAATGTTGGTTGTTCAACGTTTCAAGTTTTTTACATGATAATAGTTTAGCTTATTTTTATGATTTTATCAGTCTAAATCTAGAGATCTGGCTGTACCTTGCCCTAAATTGTTTTAATAGGTTGTAGTCCCTTTTCTTAGATTGTAGCCATAGGTTCTTCGCAGATGTTTTCTTCTCTGAAGGTTTCAATGTAGTAGAAGTGTAATCCAAATGTGCATCGTGAGTTGAGACTTATCTTGCAGTTTCATCTTGGAAGTCCTTTATTTTGGGTCTTATTAAAAAGTGGCGCCCTTCTACTTTTACTATTTTAAGCAGTGATTTAAGTTGGTATAAAAACTAATTCTGAACTGTTTGACATGCTTTTTTCCAGGTACATTGACGTCTGCACCAAAGACAGGAAACTTACCTAAAGTTTTCAATTATTTTTTCCATTCTCTGGTAAGCTTCTTGATGACTTGTCGTTAATGGACCTTTGTCCGGTTTTCGTTTCTGGCTCTAAATTCTCCCTGTATCTCTTTGTTTTAAGAAGCATCAAACTTTCTCTACAACAACCGCTCATGAGGAAGGAGATAAAGTAGTTGAAGAGTAAGTTGCTTTTTCGTGTAACAGGAACTGTATTGGAGTTATAGAACCAAAGATTTACACATTGTTTCAGTCACCAATGAACAGTTTGGAAAGAATTCCCTTAAATGGCTTATTTTATTGAAGATGGGGTCTCATCTTCAGTGCTCTGCTGCACCTATATCTACGTTATTGGAACCACTAATATCTTTTTTGCTGACTTCTTTATTTTCCTGTTTAACTCAACAGAATTTCTGTGACATTTGTTGACAAGGATGAAATGGAGACGCATATTAAGGTTCCCATTGGCATGTCCATGCTAGAAGCTGCTCATGAACATGACATAGAACTTGAAGGTAGCACTTCGGCATGCCAGTTGATGTTCTGTACCTCCTTCCTTTCCCTTTTTTAATTTCCTCTTAAGTATGACTCTACTTTTATCAAATACTTTTCGGGGCTCTAGATAGATTATAGACACTAATAACTCTTTGCAATTTTGTCTTGGTGGTATTGATGCCTGAACTTCCCCTTCAAGATTGGTTTATAAGAATTATAAAATGGTTATTAAAAATGGAATTGAATGTGCAAGAACTTTATAGTGTACCCCTTAACTAGTTTGTTTAAATGTGATTCTAGGAGCATGTGAAGGATCCTGCGCTTGTTCAACATGTCATGTGATTGTGAGAGTATGTACTTTGAAACCTGCCTACAGAAGAAGAAACATGATAGCAAGGCAACAATCACTGGATACAAGGAAACTGATGCAAATTGAACTGTTTTCTGTTTAGTTAGTATCCGGTGAAAGTTGCCTTGAAAATTTTAGACTTCCGCCCCTCCAACTAAAATTTTCATCAAAGCTAACTCCTAGAACTCATGGTCAGGATATGGAGTACTATAATAAACTCGAAGATCCAACCGATGAGGAAAATGACATGCTGGACCTCGCTTTCGGGCTCACAGAGACGTAAGTCCCTTGTATCTTGGAATTAGTCTGCAGGGAAAATTCTGTCAAACCAGTTGAAATATAAATTCTGAATTCTGTAAGATGATTTTTTTAAAATTTTTTTTTTACAGGTCTCGACTGGGTTGTCAAATGACTGCAAAACCTGAACTTGATGGAATATGCCTTGAACTGCCCAGTGCAACACGAAACTTTGCTGTTGATAGGTATGCCAAGGCCACATAGAGTTCTCCTGATAGGAGAGATTACCCCATCTTGACTGAGAAACCAAATGGAGCTTTGCCAATCTTGTAGCATGTCTTCCTTGGCAGTTTTGGCTTAAGACAATGAAGTAGCGACTTGATGAAATTGGTTGCGCCAAGAATTTGGTTGATTAGTTCAATTGCCCCCACCATCACTTTGTTGAATATGATTATCATATTAATTTTCATAATTAGAATCACTAATGACATTTTTGGAATGGCGCATGGTCACACTATAATAGTATATAAAAGACATAATTATCTTCGTATCAAAGGACTTGGAGATTAGATCCCTGATTCATGCTCAATTGTCTACGTACGCGTAAGTGACTTTCAACCGTCCATGCTTATCATGGTATCGTGTAACTCAAAAATGACCCTCTGTATAATTTGGCTAAAGATTCTATCAAATTAAATTATTCAAAGGAAAGTGAGCTTTCAAATAGCTCGAAGGGTGGTAGCATCTAGCATGTTCAAATGGTCATTACGAGCAAAATTATACAAACATAAAACTTTGGGCGCAACCTAAAATCATGCATGGTCCCCAATCTCCCTCCTCCATATATTATGCCCCAATTTCAAAGTCTTCCGGGAATTATAAAGATGTGAACTGTGAGAGATTAGATAACCGGCTCATTGGCTTCCACGTCAGACGTGGCCAATCAGAGGCGGGCCTTGACCTTGCAACCCGTGACAGTCTGACGCCGTCCAAGTTTCCAACCACCTCCACCTATGACCTATGCGCGAACCCGTTCCGTTTTCGTGGCGTGACCCTGCTCACCGACAACTGGCCGTTACCGTCGATAACGTTGTAGCGCCGAATGTTTGGTTTGTGGACACGTAGACCGTCGACGAGACAAGTCCAACTCCAACGACATAGGCTGTCGTGGAAACAATTACCCTTTCATTGCCTTCAGTTAATAATAAATTACAGTTTCACTTGCTTGACGTTTTTAATCCACTCAACCAAATTACTTTCTTACCCTCGTACCTGCGAAATTAAGAGTTTAATTTTAATTTAATTTTCCAATAACTAAAATTATTAACAAAATAATCCTAAAGGTGCATAAATTTGTATTGGCAAATTACCCAGAAAGGAATGATTTAGAGATGAAGCATCAGAATTCGGGGGACGCCAGCGAGAAAGAGGTAAGGTTGGTGCACTGCCCAAAGCGGTAATTGCAGCGAAACACCATGGGGTTTCACGTCAATTCACCCGAACTCAGAAATATACAGAGCCAGCAAGTCCCCTACATTACCTACCAAGCCGGCTGTCCCAGGACGCCGGTGACGGGGACTTATTGCTTCCACCAATCACGTCACGCCACCTCGATCACCGGGTCCCTCATCCCTCCCCACGTGTCCCAACCTTCTGTACCCCTCGACGGACGCCGTCAAATCCCAATCTCTCTCTCGCTCCCTCTCTCCCTCAGTTTTTTCCGTCAACCGAGAAAACGCAACCCAACAAAAAAAAACACCACAACGCAAAATTAACGTTTTCCGTAAACGCGAAAAGCCGGTCAACCCAAAACACCCCCAACCCCGTCTCTCTCTCTCGTCTTCCCACACTTAAAGCTATACCCCAACCCCCAAAAACCTAAATATTCACATCGCCGATATCTCCTATCCTACGGCCTCCGGCGCACGATAGCACCCACCACAATCCCTAGCTCTCTATCCCTCCGAAGAAGTCCCAGCTCTCAGATCGGCGCTATTGTACGCCTGGTGCGTTCTTCACCACCGAATTTCAGATCCAGACCGGACCGATCTCCGCCTTTCTCTGTTTTGAGATCGGCGCGCACCATAGCAAATCGAAGCGATGGAGGAGGATGACGAGATCCAATCACCGGCGTCGGGGAGAAGCGGATCGCCGGAGTCGCCTAGGCAGAACGGTCGGATAACGGTGACGGTGGCGGTGCCGTCGGCTCAGATTCCGGCGCCGACGTCGCAGCCCCAGAGCAAGGGCTTGACGCTGGCTCTACCGTCGCAGGGGCAGCAGGGGCGGAGCAGCGGCGGAGGAAGGGAGGACTGCTGGAGCGAAGGAGCGACAGCGGTGCTGATCGAGGCTTGGGGGGAGAGGTACTTGGAGCTGAGCAGAGGGAATTTGAAACAGAAGCACTGGAAGGAAGTGGCGGACGTCGTCAGCAGCAGAGAGGACTATGGTAAGACACCCAAGACTGATATTCAGTGTAAGAATAGGATCGATACTGTCAAGAAGAAGTATAAGCTTGAGAAATCGAAGATGGCAGCGGGCGGAGGACCCAGTAAATGGCCTTTTTTTGAGAGGCTCGATCATTTGATTGGGCCCTCCTCTGCTGCTAAGGTGGGTCCTGGCTCTGGTGGCGGTGGCGGGTTTTTGGCGCACAACCAGAAAGTGCCGATGGGAATGCCGGTCGGGGTTCGCCCTGGTCAGTATTTCGGGCAACGGGACTCGAAACGGGAGGTAAAGATTAGACCAAGGAGTTTGGTGGATTGGGACTCGGATGAGTCCGGGGAGCTGTCGCCTTTTTCGATTGATAACGAGGTTTTCGAGCGGAAGAGGCGGAGGAGGACGGTGCCGCCAGAGGCGAATGTGAACAATGCTGGTGGCGTGGGAAAGGGAGGGGTTGGAACAAAAGATGGAGGGGTGGGTAGAGAGAAAGGAGGAGGAGGGTGGGGGAGTTCAGTGAGGGAATTGACTCGGGCGATAATGAAATTTGGGGAGGCTTATGAGCATGCAGAGACAGCAAAGTTGCAGCAGGTGGTGGAGATGGAGAAGCAGAGGATGAAGTTTGCCAAGGAGCTGGAGCTGCAGAGAATGCAGTTCTTCATGAAGACCCAAGTGGAGATTTCTCAGCTCAAGCATGGGGGTGGGAGGAGGAATGGGAATGGGAATGCTGGTAACCATCATAGCAACAACAATAACAGTGATTGTAGCAACTAGGAAAGGTGAAAAAAAAACCCAACCCATGTTGGCAAATTAGTATTCCGAAATGGTAGAATTTGAGTGTATGATCTGTTGTTCTTGTCTTGTCATCTAGTTGGTCAGTTTGTGAAATGATGTAGAAGACAGTAGTCATCAGTAAATGCTTGTTTAGAATGTAGAGGTTGGATTATTGTTGGCAATGGTAAATGAATCTAGTCTATTAAAATGGTGCACTTGTTATTTGAATATTGTTGCTTTTGTTTATCAAGTGTAAAATCTTCATGCATTTTCATGGCTGCTTATGAAATATTGTCATCGCTGGCTGTAGATTGGTTATCAGATGACTGTTCTTTCAATGCCAAACGGTGCATTTTAAGAGAGAGAGAGAGAGAGAGAGAGTTTATGCTATGTGGAATCCCCGGCAGAACCAAAGGTAATTGCAGATGGTAGGTGAGAGGTTCCCTGAGGTGAGAGAGAAGGAGAGTATTTGGGAGAGTTCGAGAGGGGTTCATTTTCCGGTACAACATTTTTACTGGTTTTACACTCAGATACCAGAAACCAAAGCTTCTTTAAAATCATTTGATTTTGCGGCATGCTAGCTACTTTTATTTATTTATTATTTTTAAAGTGTTTACTATTATGTCATATTATAACATCATATTGCCAATGTGACAAAGCAGGTGTGGGGTTTGAGTAAAGTCACAAAGCAGGTGTGTGTTTGTTTTAGCCTAATACCCAATAAATTTGACTAACTTGACTCTCCACATGCTGTGGCCTTTGATTTACAAAGCGTATGATTAATTAACTTATTTCTTGTAAGTAAGTAATGTGTGAAATCAGCGTCATCAATTGACATGACATGCACACATATTGCTATACAATTTGGTTTCTCTAGTATTATGGGTTTTCGACTCAAATCATCTTTGAATTTCATCACGAGATTCTTTTTGACTAAGTAAATAGAGAAAGCAATGTAATTTGACTAGAGTCTGCTCAATTACATCATGCATTCGAGATCTTTTATTTAACTCTCTCGTTCCCAAATATTTGTTATATATGTTTTTTTTTAAATCCCAAATTAACTATGAAAACAAAGTTTTGATAAATTATAAGGCACACAATTAGTCCCCATCCCTCTTGATTGTTAACTCGACAGGGACAAAGGAGTTTCTCATACATACACTATCATAATGTGATATGAGTTTGAACTTGAGATCCAAATTCTGCAAGTCAATGCCCTTTTCAATTGGGCTAGATCCCATTAGCTACTATTGCATATGTATGGTTAAATTTCAGAGAATTGAGAAGTATTATTATAAGCTGTAATTTATTTAGTCAAATTTCTAATGCGGTATTTTATATTCTTCAACAAGTGGTATATTTGGAGACCTGATAACTTTCGTTATCAATTTAAATACGAAACTTTCTTGCTGGAAACTCGTTAGAGGTTTTGTAATTTGAAGTTTGTTTCATATGATAAAAATACAAGTTAATGGGAATTATACAAGTCATGACCGTTGTTTTTGCTAAATTAAACAAAGGCATCATTTCACAAAAGAACAAAACGTGCACGCAAATGGACATAAATAGTTTATTTAAAAATCATTATTTGCAAGCACGAAGAATAAATTAAACAATTAAAAAATAAAGTTAACCCAGGTAATTGGAAAACCAAAAAAATTTACTATGAAAATACTTTCAAAAAATAAATAAAAAATTGTGGAAAAAATGGAAGAAGATAAGGACATAATTGGAAAAGATAAATAGTTCTTATCTTCAATTTATATCTAGATGGGTTCAAATTTGAAACCATTGGGTACAATTTTTGTGGAGGACTCTTGATTGGATTAAAAGCTCATATTTATTTTTACAAAAAATGAAGTTGGATGAATTAATTACTGATGAAAAGGCAAAAAGAATGGCAACATGGTAATTTGGAGTCAACTACAGTCAAGACCATTTGTGTAATTACAAATAAGCACCACCAAAAAGTCTCTGTCTTCCAATCCTAGTTAAGATTTTTTTTTTACAAATTACAAACCAAAATTTTGTCTGAAGTTCAAAGCACAGACACTTCCCCTCTCTCTCTCTACTGTGTATTTTTAAACAGTAAGAGTGTAGAGAGAGAAAGCAACACAAAGCAAAGCACTTGGGGGAAAAAGAGGGGCAAAGAAAAGGTGCATTTGAGGAATGAGTAAAGCAAAAACCAAATTCTCATTGCTGTTATTAGGGTTTCCTTAAAGCCTAAAGCCTAAAGCCTAAAGGAGGAGAAAGAGAAGAAGAGCCCAGTATTAATTTGAAAACATAAAAACCATTTGGAAAAAAGAAAAGCTACTCTTAAAGAGCCAGAAGGAGGAGGGCACAATATAGAAAGAAAAAAACAGTGAAATGCTGCCACCAGCTTGAGCAAATCAGAGGATCCGATTGAAGCAATCGAAGATCTCCGAGAGGTTAAGCTCAGGTAAACTTCTCATATTGACGATCGGTTTCACATTTGCCTTAACTTTTGGGTGCGATTGGTTTTGATTTTTGCATTTATTGCATGCAATTTTTAGCTGCTTGAGTGCTTAAATGTTCCTATTTCAGTTTATGTATGCCGGTTGCGTCAGTTGTGGTTTCGCATTTGAATTTGTTTTTGTGGGTAAATTGGGCATTTGCCTATCTGGGTTTTGTTTGGTTTTGCATTTGAATTTGGATTTTGCAAACCCAGATCTGAACAATATTTGAATTCCATATTTGAAGTATTGGTTTCTATTTTTGTACAAGAGCTAGACTTCAGGTGCATTTTGCTTTTGACCGGAGTTTTTGGATTGAGATCTATTGGTGTATTAGTGGTAAGTATTTGGTCTAAAAGTAGTAGGTTTTAGCAACTGGGCTTGTGCTTCTTTCTTTGTACGCATGCTTATTTCAAATAAACCGTTCTGATTTAGAATCTGGATTAGTTAACTGTGGGATTCTCATATTTCATTCGATTATAGAAAGTTTCATCCAGTCCTTAATAATTTCAAATTTTCGTTGCTTTATGAGTTTACACAATATTGTGTCACTTGGAAGAACTGGTATACTGAGTTTTATAATTTTTCTGTTCTTCTTTTGGTTCAGATTATGCATTGATAATGAACTAATCAGAATTGTGAGGATCTTTGGCATTTGGGGCTTAAAAGTTACGTCTGTTATATGAAGAGGTCATTTGGGATAAAGGAGCTAGAGTGAAGGAGAAAATGAAATCTGATACGCCTCTTGATTATGCAGTATTCCAGTTATCACCAAAGCACTCACGGTAAGTGTCCCGAGTCTTTACATCTCCATGTTCTTTTAACGTTTCCACTTACAATTATCATTGTTCATATCTTGTTTTTCTTTACTTTCGCAGATGTGAATTGTTTGTTTCTAGTAACGGGAACACTGAGAAGCTTGCATCTGGTTCTGTCAAGCCATTTGTGACCCATTTAAAAGTTGCAGAGGAGCAGGTTGCACTTGCAGTTCGGTCAATTAAACTTGAGGTTGAGAAACGTAAATACGCTGAGACATCATGGTTCACAAAAGGAACACTTGAAAGGTTAGGTTGCCAATGGAGATAAATTTTAGTTATTTTAAGCCTGCTGGCCTTTTATGTTGTAATATTTCAGGTTTATTTGACTTCAGTAGCCAATATTGTTTATAGGTTTGTGCGGTTTGTTAGCACTCCTGAAGTACTGGAACTGGTCAATATATTTGATGCAGAGATGTCGCAGTTGGAGGCAGCACGGAGAATATATTCTCAGGTTAGCCATTTGATCAGTTCAACAACTGTAATGGTAACTGCAAGCACATTTTCTGTTTTGATTAAATTTTGGAACTGTTTTATACCAGGGAATGGGAGGTCAACATGCTGGTACATTGGGTATGTTCATCAGTTCTAACTTCACTTTTGATAGTTGATTGTAATCTTGCACCTTGAATTGGTTTGGATGCAACAAGACTTAATGGCGGAATCTTGTCTAATATAAACTTAAATTTTATCTGAGAGGATTTATGTCCATATTGATCTTTCTTTGTTATAACTGATTGTGAATGTAGATTCTGTATGAGTGATTGAGATCGGAGAGGATTTAGGATTGATGGTGTAGAAGTGGGTCACCATTTTTTTTGTCTTAGTTTCTTCACTGTCAGGCTAAGTTTCTTGTATGAATATAGATGTTCGTGGATTGTGTTTGTATATAAAATGCTAAGTAATGTCATACATTATTGGGAGTGACTGCCCAATGTCTAAAGTAGATGTTAAAATTTGCTACTGTTTTTAATTTCATTTATGCTTAATTTTCAAAGTAATTCTGATCTAGGTCATCCATATATAGTACTTATTTTTTCTGGTATTTCTTTTGCTATGTCAGATTGAATAGACTCTATAGATTAGTGAATGTGTAAAGGGAAAGCCACAAGCACTTAAATATAATGCCCTTCTAAATTTTCAAGATCAAGCTCCATATCCTTGAAGACTGTCTTCCACACTCTTTGCCTGTGCTATTGTACTTTTGACTGTAAAGTATTTAATATTGACATATCCAGTCAAATCTGGATATTAATCGAAGCATGAGTTTTATTACAATGCTGACCTAGCTTTTGAACAATTTGCTCAGGTGGGGATGGAACAGGTATCACAGCAGCAGCAGATGCAACAAAGTAATGCTCTGTTAAATTTTGGTTTTTTATAATTTACTTAATATTGCTTTAGATTGCTATGAATTTTTTGTTCATAAATGTGGTCGGATTTTCAAGTTATGGGAAAAATTATAGTTAAATTGCAGCAGTAGGACCATATTTGAACTCATTAGGTTCCCCTCATTTTGCACTTTTCTTCGTGTTGGATCCATGAAGTCAGCAGTGGGGAAGGTTTTTCTGTGAGGTTATTTAAGATGATGGTCTTTTGGTAGTGACTACAACTTGACCATTACCAGGAGATGAGGTTACAGAACCTCTTTCATATGAAGTTATTGTGGTTTGAGATGTTTAGGAATGTAGTGCTCTCTATGCTGGAC